TCCTTCGCGAACTTCTGAAATCAACCTTGCTTTAAGCTGAATTGGATCCGGCGCAATCGGATCTTGCGCCGGTAGAACGGCATTGTCGACCTCTGGAAACATCTCTGAAGATGAACCGTCTGTGTCCCCAGACGGCGTGCGATAGCTGCAAACACCTGCCGGCGCATCTGGTCGGTCTCTAGAGCGGATTCCCCACCTGGTCTACATCCATAGGAGCTGCCATACTCGACTCACCGGCTGGCTCCTGGCGCTCAGCGGCAAACTGAGACGAAGGTGTACGAATCGAAAGCTGCGCGTTTGAGAGCTGGTATAACAAAATGGCTTCTAGCGCGCAGAGACAAGTTTTCTTGAGAAGGAAAATGTGTTCAAACAAGAAAGGCAAAGCCGTCCGCCAAGTCGCTAACGCGACAACGTTTGAGGTCTTGACGACCAAAGAACACTGCGCGCACCTCTTCAGCTTTATCTTCAGCAAAGAAGCTTACTATACGGTGTGGTTCCTTACAGTGTTGTATGACCGTTCAGCACTTGTGTTTAACAAGTGCACGAAACGGTGGACGCATGTCCACTGCCACAAACGTGCCTGTCTCTACAGAATTTATCAGTTGGTCAGGCTTAGCGCTATGTTTGGTCAGCAGATCAGCTAAACAGTATTCGCTTGTCACGTGGCTTAAGTCGTGAGATTGGCCGGTATTGCTCCCACGCCTCATCATTTTGACTACTCTTGTCGGCATTGTTCCTGTAGGATGCATCTGGGAAGCCAAGGGTCCGTAGCGGTCCCCTCAGTGGCCAGAATCTTGCGTCAGCATATTGACACTTGAGTGTTCTCACTACTTCGTTGAGTTCTCGACAGTCACCGATAGTCGGTTTAGCAGCGCGTTGCAACAAAGGCGTACTTGTGTTCCACACTGTGGCCAATTAAGTTGACCAAGAACACTGCAGTAGGCCGTATGCATCTTGGGATCACAAGCAAGATTGCCCTTAGGACGCCCCACTATCTTGATCTCTTCTACGGCATCTACAGCTAGTTTCTGGTCTACACTGACATACGGTCTACGTTTATCATGGGTCTTCCATTTGATGCGTTGTCCTACAAACATGATATCATCCTTGTCTTCGGATCCGACAGAGAAGTCCTTTCTTATATTGGCAAGTATATTGGACTCAACGCGTAGACACACGAAACCATGGATTTCTCGTCCATTTGCATTCCTCCATAAGGTATTCAAGCGCGGCATCAAGAGTGGCCAGGCCATCTGACGTTCTGTTTCTGTCTACCTTCCTGGTTGAGATCATAAAGGACATAGGTACAGCGATCAGCACAAGTCGGAACTAGGCCGTAACTGGTGAGTGACTTGTCCACAAAAATTCCAATTTACGGGGCGCATCATTGAGACCATGTCCAGGCTTCTTCAGACGAGCTGCCATGTATGGTGGATATCCTAGTTCAGGCGGAATTTGGCAAATGACATCACGAGACTCGTCATACGCTTCTCCTTGCAAGGCGCTGTCTTCAAGTCCATGTGAAACAGCGACCAACGAAGGTTCGCAGCTACCTGGGTTACACAACGGAATAAACCTGATCTAGACGCTGCTGGTGAATCCGTTTGCCGTTGCTGTTTCTGCTAGTCTTCAAATCCTCTGAGGCCTTGCGCTTCAAGAACTTACCATCCTTGTCGCGCTTCAGGGTTAAGACCCATCGTCTGGAAACAAGATTACGAACGTGCAGTTTTCTGGTATCAACAAGATCACAGACATCGTTGTCTATCGAGTCTATCCACAATCGCATTTCTGCCATCTTCCAAGCGTTTCTCTTGTTGAGTTGCTTCCTTGCGCTTCTTTCCTACCAAGCAGGCAAACTTATCATCTGTGGACGTGAACAGTGTCGAATACGCCTTGTCTTCCTTACTTGGCCCCGATAAACTTCTTCAATGTCTGATCTATTCTGTGGGCGCGGCCGCTTCGTAAACCGGTAGTTCGGTCTAGCATGTAAATCCACATAGCGGCCATTACCTGCGCATACAAACGTTGACTCGACTGTACGAACATTCACGGGCACAGAGTCGATGCACCTAGATACTGAGAACGATGTTGTGTTCGAGCACAACTTGCGTTCGGCCATCCATCGCGCCTTGTCTATGTACAGTGCATCTAGGTCAAACGAGTCAGAGTCCGTCTCATTGTCTTCTTCACAGGTGACATATTCTTCTTCTACAGGTTCTGGAACTTGTGTTGGTTCACCGGGAATCGTTTCGACGTCACTGTCTGCTTCTTCAGTCGGAATCGGCAATAACATTGTACCGAATTTTACCGGTAGTCGGCTGTAACGCTGGTTGCGGCGAAGCGCGCCAAACATCACCCCCAGATGGTTGCTAGGAGGCTGACTAGAGGACGAAGCAGGCATCTGCCTAGCGGAAGCAGGTATGGAGACAACCACCTTGGGTGAATAAGGTAACCTAGGATTAATGGCCGTATGGATGGTGACATCAGGTAGTCGCGACTGATGTCGCTTCTGTGGTCCAGTAGGTAAGGCAGGTTGGTCTGGCGATAGAAAAGGTCTTGATGGAGGATGAGGTGGTGGAGTCTGTGGCGACTCCATGTCACGGTCGTCGGTGGAGTGGACACGTCAAATCAAAGTTTTGTGGCCCAGTGCGTGGAATGGTTGGCGCTGGTCCAGGTGGCATTGGAGGCGCTGGTGGTGTGCGTATTGACTCAAATGCCGGGAAGTCGGCATCATCCTCATCCGGAGGATCATTCACCTGATCATCCATATCAGCGTCTTCGTTTGGATCGGGCGCCAAACCAGGATATGGAGGCTCCAACAGGATTCTGTGGCGGATCTTGTTGTCTCTGAGGCTTCTTGCAGTAAAAGACTGTCATCCAGCGCTGTGGATTGAGCTCATCTAAAGCTACACGTTGGCGATCCATCACATAGATCTTGGAGAAATTGTTCTCCTGTGCAAAACGACACCGGGCTTATCATATAGCTTACGAAGGTCAACAAAATATATCTTTCATGACTGAGGCATTTTGAAACCTGAGCGTTGGAACAAAGAACTGACGCAGCACTCCAAGATACTGACCAAACGTAATTTTGTAACTACCCGGCAATGTTTCAGTTCCCCTTGGCACACGAGTGAGATGGTTCATAGCTTCTCTTACTTCGCGATTGGTTACGGCAATTGCGCGGTCAGCAAACATATGCGTAACCCGTTGCGCGGTTCTGTGCGTAACATGCACTGAAAATCCGCTTGACAAAGCAAGACAAGTGACTTCAGCTCATTGCGTGATACAATACTGTTTGCTATGTCTTCCAAATAAACCAGTTGTAAGCAAACAATCCAATTTCCTAATGGAAGAACGCAACGAATTATTGCACGACAAAACGCATAAGGGTAAACCTGCGCGAGCTTTGTGCGTGATCCGTAACCAGGCGCGTTTCCTTCCAGCATCTGGTGTTTGTGGTTACCGTAAGCGCGGTTCACCCCCGAGGCTCTTGCCTTCTTCAGTGGACAAACCTTGAAAACAGGATCCAGCAAACCTTCAGGAAAGTTGCGCGTGAGGCTAGTAAGCTTATAATAGTAATAGCCGCTAGGATCTCGTGCGCCGAAGGCACACATGCGCAGCGCTGACCAAGCGACGCCTTGTTTGTTCATCAAGTTAGTGAAGCACTTGGTCCACCACAACAAGGATGGCAGGATTTTTCAATAATGAACTTCCTACCATGAGCAACCTGATCAATAGCAACCTGCACACAAAAATCTAACATCGGGCGGTAGCGCTTGCGTTTTTCTTCACTGGCGTGCAGCGCGGTGCCGTAAAGATGACTTCTGGACGCTGTGTTGTAATCACACTCATGGCTCTTTTTACCCCACATCACTATGCGGGGTTCTTGTTCTGCGCCCGCTCCGCTGCGCTCCGCCGCTACCGCCTCCGCCGCCTCCGCCGCCTCCACCGGCACCACCTCAGCTTGCATTACACTACTCATCTTACACCACCTATCTCACACCACCTATCTTACACCACCTATCTCACGCCACCCATCTTACAGCGCACTTGCTTAGATGGGCTGTGGTTTTATAACTAGTTATGTTGTTTCCCTACACTTACTAACTATGTGTTAACTATCTCTTAACAGTATCTTAACTATACTGTAACACATTATAATTGTTTTAACTTGTTAACATAATTATTAACTTTTTAAGAAAATTACCTAACTAACATATTTATTTTAATTAAGTTAAAAAGTTAGCCAAATTATAACTAGTTAGCCTGCAAGTTTACATTTAACCACAGGACCATTTTCATTTGCAAGCAACGATACATCTTGAGCTTGCAGGGGTAGATATTTTTGTGAAAATGTTGATTCCCATTTTTGTCTAACTGTTTTTAAAATAAAAACCACTTTTTGGTCGACACATGTTGCAGTCAATAACCTGTTGGTTTGTTTCTGGTCACTTTTGTGTTTGTCCACATTAGCCTGTTGGCTTGTTTCTGATCACTTTTGTGCTTGTCCACATTAGCCTGTTGGCTTGCTTCTGGTCACTTCTGCGCTTGTCCACATTAGCCTGTTGGCTTCTTTCTGGTGACCTTTGTGTTTGTCCACATTAGCCATGTTGGCTTGTTTCTGGTCACTTTTGCGCTTGTCCACATTAGCCTGTTGGCTTGCCTGTGTTTGTGCACAGCTTCCTTGTAAACAAACATGCATGGACATGCACATGTGTGTTTGGAATCCCCACTGCTTCCTTCCAAGCAATGGCCAAAAAGCTTTTGTGCTGTCTTGGCTTGGCCTATTGCATTTTGAGCCCAAGTGCACTCTGACACTTTTGAAGCTGCCATGGTAGAAGTTTCCCATGTTGTATGCATGAAGTTTGGTGATGGTAAGAAACTGCAGATACCCGATGCACTGGTGGTCAAGGAGCTGGTATGGATGCCAAAACTAGTGCAAAACTAGTGCGCCAGCTCAAGGAACAAGGGCCGACCCTGTTCAGGACCCAGATGGTATGAACTACCTCAAGATCTCTTCTACAAACCAGATCATCAACAAGCTTATTTGTGGGTGCAGCAAGAGAAATGCATCTTTAAGTGGCAGTGCAAAGCTGCAAGAATTGAAGAATATGAGGAATTCACAGCTTGGCTTGGGACCTCGTGGGGCAGGTTGCATTGATGATGCTGAGAATGAAGAGGAAGAAGCTGGTGATTGCATTGGAGGGCAGAAGAAGAAGCACAAGGGGCAAAGCATCATTGTGAACATTTGTGTGGATGGCACTGACTGTTCCATCCTTTGCCCACCAAAAAGGGTTGCAAACAGCGACCTGGTTGTGAAGATTGACCCAGAGATGTTGAATGCAATATTTACATACATTCAGGAAGATTGCCAGAACAATTCCTCCAGCAGGTCTTACAGAAAGACCGGTTTGTTCAGGGAAGCAGGTGGCAAGGCCACCCAGGAAGGGTCAGAGTCAGAGGGCTACAGGCCAATGTGGCTGCTGGCAGTGGAAAACGATGTCAAATCTTGCTTTTTAGCCCTTCAAAAAAAAGAATGTCTGGTTGCAGGGGTGGTTTCTTCACTTCAAGTATGTTGATGATTTGTTTCTAGCGCAGTGCACTGCTTTACAACTGCTCCTGCTGCTTCCATTAGCATGGTGAGGACTGCAGTGCATCACAGCAAAACTAAGCACACATGTGTAACTCCAACTTCTTGTTCAGGCCAGGAACCTTTCACAAGGCACAGCAGCCCACACAAGAACTTTCACTTTTGCCACCCTTTGGTCACTCTAGCCATGGACTCTGCCTGCAAAGCAGAAGTGTCTAAGCTCTTCCATAGCAGCCTCCCTGTGAACCAGAAGCTGCAGCAGATCCTGACTTGTCTCTCCAAAGCTGGACTAGTGCATGAGACCATCTTGAAACCAGAAGATATATTAGTTCATGAGGCCAACCGAGCTGGAGCTATGGTCAATGGCTTTGATGCTATAGCAAAAGGGCAGCACATTGAACAGACAGGCTTGAAACCACAATTGCTGCCCTTGGGTTCTGTGTGCATGGAAATGAACCCCAAAAAGAGAAGCCAGCAACTAGCAGCCAATGTGGCCATGTGTGAGAAGGCATCTGGTATGCTTGGGTCTGTCAATGGACAAGAAAAGTTCCTGAGCCTGGGCACTTCACATTTTGTGATGTATTGCAGAGCTTTACAACAGCATGCCACAGCACCAGATGGATCAAAGCTACAGCCTTTGCCTGAATTCTTGCCACTCTTGCAGGAAGGGTGGAAGTGGACCATTCTGTCCTACCAGATAGAGGATGAGTTTCCAACCTTCACCATGGTGTCAAGCTACATTGAACTCTGTGAACTCAGCTGCCAAAATGGTTGGTGAGATGGAGTCAATGCTGCAAATTGCTGCGTACTTGGAAGCAGGGTCAACCCTACAGGCAGCAGTGGATATGGTCAAGTCGATAGCACCTGCTTGTGCATCCTATTTGCAGCAAGTGGCAGATTTTGCAAGGCAGTTCTTGGGAGGCACAGGCTTCCCTTTGCTCAAGCAACTCAAGGACTACTGTTGCCAGGTTGCATCTATAGTTTCTTCTGGCCAAACAGGTTGGTACTGTGATTGTTTGCAACTTACTTGCCAGCATGCAACCTGTTGCAGTGGGCCCAGGTTTGAAATTTGGGCCTACCATTTTGGTAGGGGAGGACAACATGGCCCTGCTCGCCTACCATGACTTCAGAGTCAGCGTGCAAGGTGATCAGATGTTGTTCACCAGACTGGCCTTGCTCACAACCATGTTGACAACCACCAAGGTGTCAGATGGGGTATCCAAGCTTATAGTCAAATCTGACTTCGACAAAATGACCAGGTCCCTTCAAAAACAGGCTGTGCAGATGGAGCACATACTCAGAGAGGCCTGGAGGCAAGAGGACCACCATGTCACCCCAGAGAGGAAGGCTTCTGCTTTTGGAAAGCTTTCAGTGAGGATGCGCTTGCTTTTGCTTGGCAAGCAGAAGTTTGGGAGGGACCCTGTGCTGGATAGCTTTGAAGAGATCACCAAGATGTATGGTGAGGACCTTGCAGGCACAAAGCCTGAGGCCTTGAGCTCTTCCACCACTGCCAAGCCAAAATGTCAGCCAGTCAGGGACCTCCTCAATGCTTCTGCTCAAGAGGTTGCCCTGCTGCAGAATTCTCACCTTCACTTGGATGGAAGGCATCTTTGCTGGAAACAGTTTTGTTCAAGGTCATGACATGAAGTCTTTACATAAACACAAGCACCTGTTGAAGAATGTTTCACACCACACTGCAGCCACACATCCATCAGGTATCAGCACAAAGACTACCCAGAGATTGTCTTCACATTGGCTGAAGTGACAGATGGGCAGTGCAAGTTCCTCCACAAGCCATTGTTTGGTGAGGAGGTCAGTGTGCTAGTGGACTTTGCAGATGTGAAGACATGGAAGGCTACCAAAAGACAGCCTTCAACCTTGATTCCCAAAGATGTGGCAATGTCCAGGTTGGCCTGGAAAACACCAAGCTGGGTGGCTGAGCAAATGAAGACCTACACCCAACAGGTTGTGAAAGAGACTTTCTTGGACAAGCTGCCTGAGGTGGAGCTCCAGTTCTCTTTGTTCCCATGTGCTGTGCACACTGCCACCAAAATCAAAAAGAATGACTTGCAACTCTACCCTGTGGGCACCATCCAGCCTGTCAAGGATTCTGAGTCGCACAAGCTCAGAGGCATCCCTGTTCAGTACAAAGGTGCCAAGTTCCAGATCATGCCACCCAGGGCTTTGTCTTCATTGGAGGAAGATGTTCCTGGCACATTGGTGCCCTTTCATTGCCTGAGCCAAACTGAAGATGAATCAGAAGTCAACATGCAGTTGAAGTGGATGACTGTGAAGGGGGCCTCCATCCCCAGCTTTATCAATTCAGCAAGCTTGGCAGCCAATGCTACTTTGTGCGTTGTGAAGCAGCCATGGGAATTTCCTGGCTCGACTGCTTCTGTTTCCACTCCTGTCAAGAAGAGAAAGACAAACTGATGGGAGGTTCCTTTTTCATGCAATATGCCATTTTGGCACCAGCATACCATACCTGTCGATAAGGTTTGCAAAAACATGTCACGCAAAAGCTGTGTTCAGTGCCCAAAAGACTCATTAGCCACTTTGGCTTTGTTTTGTGTGTAAAGACATTCATTAGCCTGTGTGGCTTTGTTTTCTGTGAGGCAAGAAGCTCATTAGCCCTGTTTGGCTTTGTTTTGTTGTTTGCTTGTCAAACTGTTCATTAGCCTATGTGGCTTTATCTTCTGTGTTTCTTGTCTGTTGAATGCTATCAAAAGCAAGCATTGTTGTCTTTCAGTGTCATCGAATTAGCTTGAAGGCTTTGGTGTGTGCACATCTGCTATTCTGTCTATACCTTCCCACAGAATTTCCACTTCATCAGGGACTGAGGCTCAAGTGTAGCCATGAAAAGGATTGCCACAGAGTGGCAACAAGAGCCTCCTAGCAAGAGATGGCATGGTAGCAGCTCTCAGGACTTGTGTTGATCCAAAATTCATATTTGTCAAGCTTTGCGCTTAGTCAATAGCTAGGTTTTTGAATGCGCGGTTAATCTTTTGCAGACCAGGACTGGTATGAGCAGTGGGACACTGCAGGTGGCAATGATGACCAGCCTACATGGACTGGCTATGACAGTGAGCAGGCTGCCTGGGATGCCTGGGATGACTGGGGTGAGCCTCAACGGAAGAAGACTACATGGCAAGATGATTGGGGTGAGCCTCAATGGAAAGATGACTGGGGTGAGCATCATTGGGAACATGTAGCACCTCAGTGCGATGAGTCCACATACCCTCAGGCAGCGCTGTACATTCATGTCTTTGGAATGTTTTGTTCAATGGCCTTGCAACCAGGTGTGTTTAAATGACTACAGTATCTTTTGTATGACAAATTGACTGCGCCCATTGTTTTACTGTCAACCCTTTGCAGGAGCAAGCTCACCAAACATCTGGTGCCACTAGGGTCACCTGGGAGAAGAAGGAGAACTACCAGCAGTATACTACAGAAGACTCAAAACAACATGATGATGCATTGCATCAGGCTGGTGGTGATACAATGAAGGGCCATTCAGCTGTCCAGGATACCATTGAAGAGGAGGAGGTTGAAGAGGAGGAGGAGCAAAATGAAGAGTATGATAAAGGATATTTCCAGACACTGGTTGCTATGGGCTTGGACAAAGAGTCTGTGGAGCGCAGGGAGATGGAAAGGAAAAACAAGCTTGGCCCCAAGGCCCATGTGGACAAGGATGCTGAAGAGTTTTCATTCCCACCAAGACTGGCTGGTTCAATCAGTGCTGCTTGGCGATGGCCTTGTACAAGACACAGAGGCAAGGACTACTCAACAAGGTGGTGGCCAATCTTGCAGAGCACGACCAAATGAGGATTCAGCTCATGATGTTAGAGTCCCACATCCATAAATATGGAGATGATGGTCCAAAGAGGCTTGGATATAAGACCTGAAGAGATCAGGCCATAGGTGACAGCTGAATGATGGAGAGTGAAAAGGTACGTATGATTTCTTTGATTCAATGCTGAACTCATTAGCCCAAAGGGCTTGTCACCACAAATGTTTTGGATTAAATGAAAGCCTATTAACCAACATGGTTTGATTTCTATAGACATTAGCCATCAAAGGCTTTAGACATTGGCCTTCATATGTGTTTACAATACTGGTGCTTTTTCAGCATTGTGCTTCAAGATTGTTGATGAGTTGAACTAATATGTGTAAGGTTATTTGGGCTATGCATGTAAGGTTCAAGGTTAGTAAAATAAGCAAAAACACAGTTTATCATAAGGATAACTACCTAACAATTTCAATTCAGGTTGCTGAATTGAAATGTTAACATTTTAATTTTCAATTCAGCATGCTGAATTGAAATATTAACATTTTAATTTTCAATTCAGCATGCTGAATTGAAATATTAATATTTTATGTTTCAATTCAGCATGCTGAATTGAAATGTTGAAATCTTAATTTTCAATTCAGCATGCTGAATTGAAATATTAATATTCTATTTTTCAATTCAGTTTGCTGAATTGAAATGTTAACATTTTATTTTTTAGTTTATATTTACAAACTAAACTTTTAGTATAATTTTAATATCAATATATATATAATTGGGAGTCTTGAGCATGATCAGTGTCAATATCATTAGCCTTATGGCTGTGTATTTACACATAGTCATTAGCCTTTTGGCTGAGTCTTGCAAGTCTACAAATTAGCTTTCTGACTTTATAGATTTGTTTGAATTCAATTTGACTTGAAATATAAACATTCATAATTGATATGTCTGAACCTATTTTTGTTGTTGGTTGACTGTTTGGTTCAATTCACTGCTTGCTTTTCAAGCATAGTTGCATCATTGAAAGTTTTGTCTACACACTCACAGGCTCAAGCAATCACAGGTGATCCAAGCTACTGTGAATCAATGGCTCAATGGTCAGTGGAAGCTTTGGAAGGTGAGATTCTGTCTCTAGCAGAGATTCATCTAGCTCGACCAGGCGATGATGTGGCCAACAGATTTGCAGAATCTGTCATCTTCAAAATTCAGCACGCTGGAGAGATGAGTACATCCACCTTCACAAGACTTTCCAATGTCTTGAAGAAGTCAACCCTTACTAGTACTTTGAAGGAGTCTGCGCAGAAGGCTTTGGACAATGCAATTGTCGACTCCAATCAGGGAACCCTGAAGCTAGTTGCCAGGCCCCAATGCCTCTTGAGCATTGACAACTACCTGACCACTGAAGAGTTGGCATCAGTAAGGGCTTCACCTTTGCCAGCAATGGTGAGTACCATTGTCAAGAGAATGAAGCTCATTGGCTTGAAGAGTTGCAAGGAGAGAACTAAGAAGTACACTGTGGCATTTATTATCTTCATCTTGTGCCAAACAGGGGAGCCACATCCCACAAGCAATGAGGTCTACAAGCTTGCACAATACTTGGCTGATGCTTTCAACAGTTGCCAGGTGACTTCTTCAGTTGTGGGCCTTTCACAATACCCATCAACTCCAGTAGAGTTGGGACATGAATTCCTGAAGAAGGCATATGGTGATTTGACACCTGTAGAACCATGTCCAGAAATTGCTTCAGCTGTTGCAGCACAGTTGAGAAACACTCCTGTCAGGAGTACAAGCAATTTGCTGGTGGGTTCAAGTCAGAGCAAGAAGAGCCAGACTTCAGGCGATGCCCTGCAAGCCATTCACTCTTTGATAGAGGCTGCAAAGAGCTTGGATTTGCAAGCTGGGTTTCAAAAGCAGATGCAGCAAGCGCCAACACCAGTGAGTCAACAACTTGCCCATAAAAACAGCAGCAACTGTATTGGTGCCCTGCCACTAGCAAGGAATGACAGCTCACAGTCTTTGAGTGTGCCTGTGACTGCACAAGAGCCAGCCAAACCTGAGACCAAGCAAGAGCAATCCCTGGAGCAGCCTGCCTTGGATACAAAGCTAGATGCCAAGGATGACTCAACTCATCTCAAGGGTGACTTGGAAACATTTGAACAACAGGCCTTTGACCCAAAAAAGAAACAAAAGGGTCAGGGAAAGGAAAGAAGGGATCTGCCTCAGGCCTGATGAAGAGACCTGCAGCTTCCAACAAGGTCTTGAAAAAGCCTGCAGTATGCAAACCTTCTGCCCAAGAGAAGTCTTCCAAGGACAGCAAAGGAGTGCAAAAGGCTCTCAAGGCTCCAAGGCCTATTTGCTATGGCTGCCTTCGATGTAGGGGAAATGTACATGGTTGCAGCAGCTGCCAAAGTGACAGCTTCAATGGTGTTCGCTTGAATGGTCGAACAGCTTGGAGTAATTTTCTTAGAAGCAAGAAGGGTATGTAGATGTCTTCTACATGCTTGGGAAAACCCAAGCATTGGGGTTTGACAGCTGAAAGGCTGCTATTGGTGGTGTAGCCACTTTGCTGAGAGTGTAAAACAAGTCATCTCACTTCCTGCAGTCTTGGAGAAGTTCTTTAGTCTCAACTGCTGTGTACTTATGCCAGCTGACACATTAGCCTTTTTGGCCCCAGTGAATACGTCATCAACCCACAAATTAGTCTTTGGACTTGTTGTTCAAACACACATTGGCCATGAGGCCTTTATGTCAACCAGTCTTTGGACTTGTTGTTCAAGCACACATTGGCCATGAGGCCTTTTATGTCAACCCACACATTAGTCTTTTGAATGATTGTTTAAGCACACATTGGCCATGAGGCCTATTCTTGTCAACCAACATTGGTTTTGCATTCTTCATTAGCCTGTGGGCTCATGTTTCATTGGTGTCTTTGTCCACCAAGGCCATGTAAAGGTTCATGGACTAAATGATTGAGTCATGAAGCTTGGCCCAAGAGAAGGAAAGTAGAAGGGTGCAGCAATGGCTGCCACACAGTTTGGTGTGTACAAGCACCAAGAGACTGGCGTCAGGATGATGGTTGAGATTGGTGGTGGTGAGGTACTCACCATCTACCTCACTCCCCATGGAGGTGGCATGGAGCAGATGGTCTATGACTCCATGCACAAGCCCGATGTGAGGTTTCTAGAGGAGATGCATGCAGCACCTTAAGCAGCAGTTCATGCCTGTACTGAAAGATATGATATATGATGGAGCAGTTGTGTTTGCACATGTTTGCACTTCAGCTTGGGAAATAAACAGCCAAGGCACCTGGTGCCTTTCTTGAGCAGCTGGGCTGCATTCATCAGGTGGTACGCATTCCTGTCACACTAGCAAAATTATTTCAATCATGCATTGGCCAGGTATGTCAAAGCGAGACCTGAGCTGTGGAAGATGTTTCTAGCCTACACTGTGATTGAAGGCAAGGACTTCTTGCAAGCTTGCCAAGGCCCCATGACAAGTAAAATGAGGCTACTGTTGCTCAGGGCAAAGCTCTGATTTGGAAATGAGCAAGCAGCTCCTCTTGGTGGTTGAAAAGAAAAGAGCACTTGCTTTGATGAGTGTGCAAATGTGAGGGGTCAACATTTGTTAGGCTGCCTGCACATTGGCTTGATCAAGCTCAACTATACTATTCATACATGTCCAGATCAAGCTCAATTGTCACAAGTCCATGTCTATTAGCTTGGTGTCTGTCCATACCAAGCTCAATTGTTACCTGTTGATGTCCATTGCCTTGAACAAGCATCAAGCATGCAGCAAAAGCCTTCATTAGCCATACTGGCTTGGGAATGCTATGTCCTTACCAATAGACACACTGGCCATGCGCGTGTAAATTAGCCACACTGGCTGTAGGCATGTAGCAAGAATACATTAGCCACCCTGGCTACATGCAGCAAAGCCACATTAGCAACACTGGCTACCAGCCTACTTCAAAACTACATTGTAGCAGAGCTTCAGGTTCTCATCAATGTGGCTGCTTGCATGTTTTTGGCACAGAGCACCTTGAAACCATATGCAAGGTATTTGTTTGCGGTGTTTTGTATTGTTTGTTCTCTGGTTTGTTTGTGTGGCCACCAGCCCATCTAACACAACAGTGCTCTGGAGCAGTTTACATGAACATATACAATGCATTCACCACTCATTTTTTTGAAGCTGGGGTGTGCCTATGGCTAAGCCATGGCACTGTCTGCAGCTGAGCCAAAGGCAAAGTACAGAAAGCTACAAGACTTGAGGAAGTCTATCCCCTTTACAAGCAAAAGCTCTTTGGCAGGCATCATTGGGCACATTCGAGCCCAAGGTTTACCTGATGCTAGTTCTTCAAAGGATATGAGAGCTGCCAACAGACAACAGCTTGCTTCCTTCAATGGTTATGGCCCATTGCTGCAGGAGGAAAAGCTTGTGATGACAGGTGGTGAACCAAACAAGTTGTTGTTTATCAATTTGATGTCTCTTCTCCATGGTGCATACAAGCACTGTCCTGGATTTCACCAATTGCTGAAATCTACTCTGGATAGATACACAGAGCCATTGCACCTGATGGTGTATGGTGATGAGATCACACCTGGGAATGTCTTGTCCCATGCACCAAATCGCAAGCTTTGGTGCATATATATTTCTTTTGAAGAATTCAGGCACCACTCTTTGTCAGAGAATGGATGGCTGACCCTTTGCTGAGATCTGATATTGCCAGCAAAGTTGAAGGACACTTGAGCCAAGTTGTCAAGATTCTCTTGGTTTCCATCTTTTGCAACAATTGTTGCATTGGTGATGTTGGGCTTCAACTTGAAGAGCCTGATGGTACACCTGCAGCTAAAAGATTGAGAATGAAACTTGGCTGCTTCATCATGGATGGCTCAGAAATTGGCCTGGTCCTGCAAAGGAGACTCAGGCAGTAGGTTCTGCATGCTTTGCAGCAACATTTTCCAATCACATGGGTCTACAGAGGAGGAGGAGGAGGAATTTGTGAATGAAGTCAGCAAGTACTGCAAGCATAGTGATTTGT